TGTCCTAACATAACTACTTGAGTTATAGAACTTGACCAACTAAATGTCGAATGTCATATTAGATCATATTCTAGGGCAGAATGCATATTAGAGATCACATGCTTCTGTTTCATTTGGAGGTCACCTGTAACATAATACATAACAGCTTCAACTAAAGGAACTTGTCATTGTGACTACTTGAGCAAATAATTTCTTTAAAGAACAACCATGGTTTAGTCCAAAAATTGAGTTTTGCTTTTATATATAGTTTAATTTCCAAAAGCTAATATATATGAAAGTTTGGCATTTTACATAGGATCCCAGCAGCCTGGAGCATGATGTTGTTGAAACAAACCCAAACAAATGGATTGGTATAACCTGTTTATATCAACATGGGGCCAACAAACCCAAACAAAAAACACAAAACTTAACATGAAGCTTTAGACAAAACAAACCATTATCAAAGAATGGATTGGTATAACCTGTTTATATCAAAATAACCCATCAAATGAAAACTCAATAGCCAGGAAATGGGTATTCACATTATCCAAGTTCTTTCATCGATATCTACACCCTGCAAATCCCAGATTCTAAGCATAAAATGGTAGTACTTTGTGCTTTATGATTTATAATTAGAATATAGGTCTAAATGCTTATCAATGTAGTATAGCTTACTGGTGAAGTGTTTCCATGCTATTTTTGCTAATCTTCATTTAGAGCATCTATGGAGCCTAGGTAAATATTTTACACTGCAGGCACATATTTTCTGTTGTCTTTCATTAAGTACTTACTGAACATTAGAAACTTCAGCAAAACAATTTCTTCAGCAACTCAATTGAAAGATTAAGATCATAGATAACATAATATCATATCAAAACAATACAACAACTAAACCCTGGGAGTGGAAAAAAGAACTTGATGAGATTTTTGAACAATTTTAGTTTGTTACCAGGACTGTGCTGCTCTCGTTTGAACGATTGATGGCTTTGTATTCATAATCAAGTCCTGTTGGCAAACGACAAACAACAGACTCAAATTAAATATCTGTAATTGAAATGCTTATTAAGAGCGTATACAAACCAACACAATACGCAATCTCAGGAGAAATAATGAATCAAATAACAAAACCTTTTAAGTTGAGAGCAATACGAACACGAAAAGAGGAACTGCTCATGAAAATGAATAGAGTTGCAGCTTCTTTGGCAACTCTTCACCACCAGCCGTTGTCTACACCGTCAAAGTTTAACCAACTCTTTGCCATATAGACATTTAACCAAGTTTCTTCATATTGTTAGAAATAGAATATGTTGTTTCCATTTCATCTTATACACACACACACACACATAAAACAGAAACTCCCCTGCTGCTGCTGTCCAATTAAATTGATGGAGCTATGCAGCCACTTCAAACATCAAAACCTTGTATGTACAAATACATATGCACACACACATCAAGATGAATATATATATATATATATATATATATATTATATATATATATATATACAGACACAGACACATGTAACAGGGCTAATGTGTTTTGTTTCTGTTTCTGTGTGTGTGCATAACAACATAGATGTGACTGTTTCTATATCTATCGATATCTATATCTCAAATAAGAGTTTAATTATAGTGTTTTGAGTATATGCTAACAATGTTTGTATTTTATTTGTTACCACTTATCTTCACTCATGAATGCTTTTTTCACCAAAGTTAAACATGAGATAAAATGCTATGGGAAAAGAAGTGGTAATAAAAATTCACTTATGTTGGAGTGATGGTGTCTGCCCATTGGCGTAGCCAGTCTACTGAGATAAATCACTAAAATATCGGTTCAAATTTCACAACAATATATCTATCCACATACCATATATAGAGCTTCATTGCTATTTACCAAAATAGTAATAACACCAACGTAGATGCAAGAATACAACTAACAGTATAGTAATAATCCACAAGCCCTAAACTGAAGTCGCCTACTGTAACTCGATGAATCTTCAAGCCCTAAATCGAACATATGAGACAAATTGAACTCAAACTCGATCAAAAAACGAAATCGAAGATCGAAATCAAAGATAAAGCAAAGAGAAATCACACCGATTGTTGAAAAATCGAAGATAAATTATACAGGGACTCTCGTATCTCCTCTCCGACTCTTCGTTTGATTTTCAGTAATACTTTTATTATATAGATTTGATTTATTAAAAATAGAAAAGCTTACCTTTTGTTTAATTTTAAAATAAAAATAAAAATATTTTATTCTTTAGCGACAAAAGTAGAAAGTGTTTCTAAAGCTTTTGAGTCGATTTTTAGAGACGTTTTATATAAAAAGCGTCTCTAAAAGCTTTAGGACCGATATACATAGCATATTATTAGGTTTGAAATCCTTCTCTGAAAGTCATCTTATCTTCAGGTACATTTTTCACCTTTTTCATGTATTTTCTTCCCTAAACAACACCTTTAGATACACTTCCAAATCCTTCTCTAAAACTTCCTTCTCTAAAATCCATTTTCCTTGTAGTGTTAGAGATTTCTTCATTTTTCTTTCTTTCTTTTTTCTTTATTTTAAAGGGAAGTTTATCATAGCTGTGAAACATTTTTTTTTCAAATCTCCAAAATTTCTTAAAAAAAGATGTTAGTTTGTTAATAATTTAAAAAAAAAATCACTTTAATTGCTAAAAATCGTGATTTAGTATAATGATATGGAAAATTTCATACAATTTTCAATTATATATTGATTTGTAATGAAATTACAAGTATGTCGATTAAATTACAATCTTTACGTATTTTAAGATTTAATAACTATAATCTAAAACAAGAAATTTTAATAATTAATGTCCATAAAAATAGAAAAAAGAAATGTAGAAATTTGAAAGTAGAAGAAAGAAAAATGGGAAGAAAATCGATAAAGATGGTGGAAACTGATGATGGAAGAGAAGTCTTCGAGGCCTAATTTGACCATACCCTTTTTCTTTTCCTTTTCTGCTCAATTTTCCCTTTTTTGCTGTCATTTTTTTTACTTTCAAAATTGATACAAAGTTTAATTTAAAAATAATTTATTTATGATTTAATATTTCAAATAGGTCTTGATAATAATAATAATAATATTATTAAAATTTTACTATATTAGAAAATTTTATTTAAAATCTTACTATATTAGAAAATTTTATTTAAAATCGTAAGTTTTTCAAGAAACTTGAGATTTAAGTATTCATAATGAATATATACAAAAATAATAATAAATATTATTTATCAATGATATCATAAATTTTTATTTGTAAATAATTATTGATGATTTTCATTATATGAATATTTATTGTGATATTTATCATAAATATTCACGATATTCGTTATTAATAATTAATCTTCAATTATAAGGGTGGTGTCCGATTGATTTGAGTTTAGGCTCCAAAGGTCAAAAATGTTTGGGGGTTCCAGGTTCGAATCCAAGAAAGAATAAAAATCTCTTTGTGGCCACGGAGGTTCAAATACGGTGACTTCAGGCTACCTGCAAAGCGCATACATAACGAGTTGGATATTCAGGTAAATCAAAAAATAATAATAATAACAATAATTAATCCTCATGGTTACTAAAATATTGATTGTCCCCGATGAATTTATTTCTAAAAAGAATCTGAAACAAACTCTTAGACAACGTATAAAATATTAAGTATTTATATTATATTATAAAATATTTAATAAAAAAATTTAAAAATCATTTTTTATGTATGAAGTACTGTATATTGATTCATATTACTTAAAATTCAAGATTACAAGTAAATTATGCATAAGTACAACTTATTAAAGCTCCATGTTTGAATTCGTTTAACTAACTGCGGATAAACATAATCAAATAAATGATAAATATCTCATTTTAAAATATAAAAAATTTAAAATATAATTAAGATAATTATCGAGTTTTAACAAAATTATTAAGTATTATCTTTATAAGAAAATTATATTATTAAACCAAATATAAATTACTTCGTTATTGAAACTAAATTAAATTATAATTAAAAAATCGAAATAAAAAGTTACACAAGAAATAGGAATTTTAAATAGTTAATTTGATATCAATATCGTTATATCTTTGTCAAATTTTTATGATATTTTAAATTTATATTTTATTCAAAAATAAAAACATAATCGCTTTTCTAAAATCATATAAGACCATACTATAACATCGACTAAGATAAAGAATAAAATAAAATAATAAAATCAAAATATATCTCGCTATATTATATGAGTACCCTTCTAATAATTTATTAACGTTAATATTTTAAAATTAAAGTTCGTAGTTCACATGTTATAATAGTCTCCTTACTAAAACTCCATAAAACTGTTGTATCATACTTTAAAAAAATCTAAATTATTTTATATATGATAAATTTTTAATTAAACAAATTATTTAAAAAATGAATGTTTTATTCTCTTAAATTTAATACCCATATTAATATATTCTTTCTTTCATTTTTTACATGGTTTTCAAATTTCATATTTTGAGTATATTCACATGTGAATATAAGGGGGAGTTTAAACGAAAACCTTTCTGTTTTGCGAAAATATGAGACCAGTTGTTGGTCTCTAAACTTTTTAACTAATAATTTAATTTAAAATAAATAAATAAGTGCCCTAATGTAATTAGGTATTTTTTTTATATATTCTTATGTTATTTTAATTAATTGTAATTATCCCATGATTTCTCGATTATAATTTGATCACGTCCAATCTCATGTCTCAACCGTTTATGTATCTGCATATTCGATCATAGTGTGATAAATATGCGATACAACCCTAACCGATGACAAATCAATAACAATGTGGTAATTTAACAATCAGTTGAAGAACGTAAAATAATCTATGACATTCAGTTGAAGAACCACACTTTATGGTCAGGATTCCCGTTTATACAACACGGATGCAATAGCATGGTTAATATTGAAAGGCATTGAAGCAACCTACACGCTAGAAATGCTCTACGAGCATACAAGACCATGTAGCATGGTTAACATTTTCAAGAAGGAAATATATATATATAGACTTGGGATCATGTGAGACCAATGGTTTTTCATGAGACCCGTAAGACCAATTCTCAATCCTTGGATTAGATCTATAATCTGACAATCTAAACATTCATAAAAGCAACGAGATTTCTCAATAATCACAAAATTACCACCGTGCAATTTAGATCGTTAGATCATTAACTTATAGAGTTGATCAATGACCATAAATTGGTCTTACGGGTCTCACGAAAAACCTTTGGTCTCACGTAAACCCAACCATATATATATATATATATATATATATATATATATATATATATATATTGAATGGCAGCACATGAGCAGTGTTAACAAAGTCGTTTTGACTTTTTATTATAAAAGGCAGACGATTACAGAGGGTTTGAATACAGTTAAGTGGTCTAAACAAATACACAATGCTTGGCTTTTTCCAGGTTTACCCTTCTACGTATTTAGTATTTCTAAAAAGTTTTTAACATTAATTTAAATTTGAAGAATCCCTTCACTTCTCTTAAAGTTTGATTTAAAACACAATGCTTGGCTTATAGACTATTCTCATGTTTTCACAAATTACATGGATTCTCATTTGAGCCCTCCCCCCACAACACACACACACACACACACACACACACACACACATATATATATATATATATATATGTGTGTGTGTGTATGTATATATATATATGTGTGTGTGTATGTATATCCATACTAATATTTTTACTATATTATGAAGTATTTACATCTTATTACAATATGTTGTTGATTCTCTCTCTCATTGATTTGATGATAATCCCTTTTATCTATTACGAAGTATTATGTTTCTGTCTTTCAGTTTCAACGATCATCACTGAGTCTGTTCAGTGATCGCTGAAACATGTATTGTAAATCCTACAGTGACAGCGATACTTCAAGAAGACAAAACTTACACCAAAGAACCTTCAGCGAAAGTCGATGACTGAAACTGAAGATTAGAGACTGGCGCGTTCGTGATCTGAAGCGGCATTCAGTGATTACAACCTGGTCAATATATGTGTGAAGACTGCCTAAGCCTCAGCGAATGCTGAAGAGACCTTTAGTGTTATTCAAGAATTCAGCGATCAAATAAAGCTTGTTGTGCAAGATTGTTTTTGCCTTGTCCTTCCACACACAGAGGACAACCC